TGATTAATTGACCAAAGAAATAAGTTCCAGAATCATTGCCTAAGAAAACAAATGAGTTTGTAAAATGTCAAAAAAGCCAATCCCAGTTTTTAAATCTAAGATAACCTTAAAATTTCTGGTTTGTCCCTCAAATGGACTCAACAGTAACAAGCAGTAAAATTAGATCGGAGGAGCTTTAAGGCAAATTTGACGATTTCTGCTTGAAACATGTTTATATGTTCAGTATACAAAGTGGAAAAAGGGGGCAAATTTGAACACAGTTTCGGCAACAAACTCATCAATAAATAAAAAAGTGGTTTCAGCTAACACTCACCCAGGCCTCCACGTCTTGGGGCGGCTCCATCTCGTCAATAACCTTCACTCTCTTCCACAAAATGTTGCTCTTGCCGTAGTTTTGGAGCTTCTTGCGAGTCTTCAGGGCGAAGACGAGCATGATGATCAGAGCGACGGCGACAAGGAAGCCCAACACCACAGCGATGGCCTGGAATGAGAGAGGAAACAGTTAGAAAGGGAGCTTTTCTTTATTTGAAGATATTAACACAAAGCATATACAGTAAGTGTGTGTTCACCTCTTGCGGCTCCACGACGCAGTAGTGGTAAAGATACTGGTTCTGAAACACTCCTGATGGTTGGGGGCGTTGGAACTGGGCGCACAGACCGGCAATCTGGCTCCCATAGGCAGATCCAGAAGACTGAGCCATTGGGTTCACCGCCACCAAGTATACTATGGAGGCTATTAGCATTAGCAGAGCTAAGATGGCACAGATGATTATCACGGCCAGGTAGAACCTGCGGCTCTCCGATAGACTCGAATGGGACACGATGATGATGAAGATGGCCAAGCCTGCGATGAAGGATAAGGCTGCCATGGCGATGATGAACCCTTTGCCTGCTCGAGGGTCATTGTAGTTCCCGCCGAGTCCACCGTAGCCGTAATTGTTTCCAGCACTGTACCCTCCGCCGCCAAAGGAGTTATATCCGCCGCCGCTGTAGCCTCCTCCTCCATAAGCTCCTCCTCCGTAAGTTCCCCCGCCAAAACCACCCATAGCTCCGGCGGAGTCCCAAGCCAGCGTGGAGGCGACACAAGCGAATATGGCCAAGGACATCACGATGACGATGATGGCCATGATTTTGAGGATGCCGGGCGGAGACGTCCAGCGGTAGAAATGCTGGAACTCGTCATCGGGGTAGTAAGAATAGGCCGGCTGGACGGGGGGATTACTGTAGGGTAAGAAAAGACAGAAGAAACACAATGTAACTTCATGAATCGTATACATGAATGACAGGTTAAGCAAATATTAAAAAATACAATTTGAATTTAAATGTACTTTAATGAACCCATAGAGTTAGTTGTTATGTACCCCAAATATTAAAGAAGCCTTTAGCATCTGTTTCAGGGTAAACCAAATTTAGTGTCTCTGCTTAGATACTCGATCAGCCACCAGTTTATGGCCTGTTGTTGTTATTTTCAGGTATTTTAGCGTCCGTTTCATGGCTTCTGTTTTTAGTAACCATTCTGCCATTTGTTATATTTAGTGTTCATTCTAAGACACACAACAGATCTGTTTTGATTCACCCTTTAGCATCTGTTTGAAGGTGGTCACTGCTTACGATTAGCCTCTTTTCTAAGACATCCTTAAAAGTGCAATACTTTTCTTTAGGTTTCCAGGATATGCGCCGCTAGACGCGCCCAATTAACCACAAGTTTTCCTTTGTTTATTCCTCTTCTTAACAGACAATTTTAGCATTCTTTTCTTACCGGGATGGAGGAGACACAGGCCGGTGCGTTACCTGGCGATAGATTCTTTTGTGTAGATTTTGTGGCTTCTTTGCTGCGGTCTAAAAACAGTGTGACTGCATACCTGGGAACCCCGTTCCCCGACTGGGCACAGCTGATATTCGTTAGCAGCCGCTCTAGCTCGTTCAATTGTGGGGCAGAGTTTGTATTACGCACCGTCCTTTCCTCCCCTCGGCATTAATTAATAATTCATTTAAATAATCAATAATCAATAAACAACTCAAAATTGATAAACAAATGCAAACTATCCAATAAATCACAAAATCAACTATTTGGCTTCAACAATCCTTTTATAGTCTGTTTTAAGGTGCCCGAATGGAGTCTGTTTCATGATATCCTTTTGCCACCTGTATTTAAATACAGAATTTTGTTGTCTGTTTTTAATGTCCTAAGTGTCTTTTTTAAGGTAAATTATATCATCTATTTTAAGTCCATTTAAAGGAAGAATATGTGACTTTTTGATCCAGTAGATGTCGCCCATGAGCACCAGCATGAAACCAAAACAAACTGCTGTTTGGCCACGCCTCCGTCATACTGAAGCCTCCGCTCTCCTCCAGCGACACACCTCCAAACCCCCTTCACTCAAGTTCGCACAGAAGAGTTTAGCACAAGCGACTGGCTTGCATTGTTAGCAGGCTAATTTTAGCGCTCCTTAGCTAGCTCGTAGCTTCACATTGCATTCAAATTGACACAGACTGACCACGATCTGAAATCCCTTACTTGACATCAAAAAAACAGTGAGTATGTTCTTCTTCTCTCTAGTCCTCTTAAAACAGCTTTTTAAAAAAGCCCGTCCCGTCCATGATGTAAACACGGCTCTGACAACAACACAGCCAGCAGGGACTCGAGCTTCTCCCTCATTGTAGACAGTCATGACTCAGAGATATTAACACAGGATAAACTTGATTTCTGCTGTATTTATGTGTCAGATTTTGCACAATCTTTCTGTAAAGGTACGGTATAATTCCGTGTCTGTTCTAAGGTAACCTGTAAAATCTGGATCTGGGTACCTGTTAAGGGTCTATTTTAAGGTTTCTGCAGTTGCTTCAAGGTTCTCGTAAGCTGACATCAATTTGGTGTCTGTTTTAAGGTAAACTTTCACTGACACATTTTCGGTGTTCGTTTTGGGCATTTGTTTGGAATCTGTTTTTAAACACTTTTTTGGCATCTTATGTCAAACTAAACTTAAAGTCTTTATATGTGATTTTTCACACTTAAATATAATATAAATCAAGAATATCCTCTGAATATAACTCTGTGAGTCATGACTGTCTACAATGGGTGTAACACCCGAGTCCCACTGTCTGTGATGTTTTCAGAGTTTTCAGAGTCCTATCTTCAGTTTGTTTACATCGCCCGGACGGCCGGCTGACTCCTCCCCTCGTGTATAAAAGTTGTTTAATTGAGGGACTAGAGAAAAGAAGAATAACATACTGTACTCACTGCTTAACTGTGTTTCTAGATCACGCTCATTTCAGGTAAATTTACATGCAGTGTGAAGATACCAGCATAATAAAGATCGCTAGCATCAGCATGCTAACACAACAATGCAGCGCGAGTTGTTTTGGTTTCATGCTGGTGCTCATATCACGTCGTGTTCGTATTTCTTTTGTGAACTAGCAATTCTCATATTTTTGAAAGATATTTCTCCCACAGTTCCCCTTCAGCTCGTCTTTTTACTCGCCCTTTTGCGTCTGTTTCAGGGAACCCTTAAGCGGCCATGGGGGACGCTCCATGGGTTGAAACTGTTTCGACAAAGTGGCTCAAACCGGAGAATAAGCTGTCGTTAAAACATGTTTAAAATGTGCTCCAGAAAATATCAGGTTTGGGATTTCAAACCACAAACATTTATCTAAATATCATGCCAAATGTAGTCTTTCTAATTCACTGGTATTCAATTCAAGTACACGACATGTTAAACAATTTAAAAACTAGTGTGGCCTCTTTTTGCCGCCCTATCAAAGTCGGTCATTAGCTTGAGCTGTGTGGATATCTAAACAACCTAACAGGGGAGGTTTACTGTCAACTCATCAAAGAGATACTCACTATCCATCTGACTCATAGGGAGGCGGACTCCCATTTGGCCTGGAGGACATTTCTGCTGGATCCACTGGGCGCTTGTCTGTGAAAGAAAGACTCCTAGTGTTAGGACATATTTCAACCTAACCTCAAAACTTTACATTCATTACAATAGAGCTGCAACAGAAGACTGTTTTCTGTCAGCAGTCAAAAACAATCCATTCAGAAACTTTAAGATGTTATCTTAACAATGACATGAAACAGAAAACAGGAACACAAATGTTAAGGATCTGGGAATTAAAACTTTTGAGCATTTGTGCCTTAAAAAAAAGATTTATTAAATAAGTAGAGTTCTGTTTCTCTTAGGTGTAATCAACAAATTAATAAAACACTTTATCCTGAAATCAAACAACAACTCTCCTGAAATGTTAGCCATTAACACAACGACACACAGACTGGACAGGTGTAACCGAAAAAAATCTTCACTTCATTTTCGCCTGATCATGAAATATAAAACTACATAAAACAAAATTATGTTACAGCCAACAAATTCAGCAACTTTGAGCACTTTAATTCGTAATTATTTCGCACTTTTTCCCGTTGTCTCTGCAGCACAGCAACAAAGAAGACGTCAAGGAAATAAACAATGCGCATCCAATAACACACCTGTGCCTGTTGTATCCACAGGTGAGGAGTTATAAGAGATTTAAAACCACATATTAAACCAAACCAGAGTGAAGTCTTAACACTCACCTGTCTCTTTGTTGCCTCCCTGCCTCTCCTTCTCCGCTGCACCTGAAATGTTTCAACTGAAACTGCTGCTCGTAAAGAAAATCCGCAGCCACGCCTAGACGGGCTCCTGCTCTCGGTCGGTGTAGCTCCGCCCCCCTCCCCGTACAGGTGTCAGGCGGTGTCCCGTTACGAAAGCCTCTCAACACCGGAAGTCCTCATTCTCTCTGTGGAAACGGGTCGAAATGCTTCAGAATTTTTTTTTTTAATTTAGGTAGAGTAAAGTTTACTGGATGCACAAAGCACAAAGTCTGATTTTCCTTTTGAACAAATCTGATTGGTTGATAAATATATGAAATTTTGGTTGCAGAGTCGGTGGCAAAGTGTTTTTTCTTCTTCCTTTTTTCTCAGAAAGAGAAACTGTCTGCTTCTGAATAAATACAAGTAAAGACAATTTAATGCAGAAGTAAAACTGTATTTAGAAGACAAAAAAAACACCAAAAGATCACTTAAATTATGAAAGAAAATGGACATTTACAGCAGAATATTTACATTTACACTTGATAAAGTTACAGGGAAAATTCAACTTTAAATGTAATTTTCAATTCAATCTCGAGGTCCAACGTGTTTGGAAAAAAAAGAAATATAAAGAATATATTTGGGCACTTAGGAAATGTAAGTGTCTGTAAAGTAGAAAATCTTTAATCTATGAAATTGTCGGACAAAAAGTTACAGCACACACACATAACATACATTTAAATTCTACTACAAAGACATGCATAAAAAAGAGAAGGTGCAATTAAAACAGTCGAGACAGTTATCACAGCAGTTGAAGAAAAGAGCTAGATTCTTTAGGTACGTAGTGTTTTTTTGTTTTGAAATTCATGCAGACAAGCCTGACAGAAAGTGAAGTCTCTTTTGGAGTTTAAGCGGAGGTAAACATTTTCAGAAGTTATCCCCGAAGCGTCTCCTCTGAATTAAAATCTCCCAGTGATTTCTGTCAAACATTCACATCGGATACCAGTGTCATTAGTGAAATAAAGCAGGAGCTACAATCAGAGAGTCACAGTATCACACATATACAGCATATTCTTTGAGTTATTTACATATTTATGGACCGTTTAAAATAAAAGCAAAAGTGACACATTCTGGGAAATGCACATGTTCGTTTAAGATGAAAAAAATCAGTACCACTCTGAAAGCTACAGACGGGAGTTTGTAAGCATTGGTGGAGCGTCAACCTCTCCGTGCTGAAAAATGAGTACAATATAGAAGTGCAACGCACAATGCAGTTCCTCGAGTGTCCACTAGAGGCTGCCTCCAAAAGTGAAGGAATCCCAGTTAGGTCCCATATTAAAATGCCCTCTTTTACAGTAGAAATAAACATATTAACAGCCTGCTGGAAAAAACAGTTTTTGGTCTCTGCAGCTTATTTTTTATGTTTGTGCACACTGTTAAGCGAGGTGATTTTTTTTGTAAGTGTAAGTGTGAAAACAGCTGATGGTTGTGGATTGCTCATATCAGCACGACTAACTTAAATGTTTACACCCAAAAATCTAAACACAAATCAAATAAGAGCCAAACATGTATGTGCATTTCTAGACGTATGGACACTCTTTTTATGTTTGACCTGAAGGGGTGAAGGTGAAGTCCGCAGAGTTCTTTGTTTGGATCAGCATCAAGGTGCAAAAAAAAAAAAAAAAAAAAACTGAAAGTAACACAAGCTTGAAACACAGCAGAAAAAAATGGAGTCTGCATTTTGCATGTTGTGATTGCACAGGGGCGGTAATGAAACTCCACTGTCATTACACCTTAGTATTTTCATATTGATTCTGACACGGTGTGATATTTGCGTCTCAGTCTGTGACTTCACATTGTGTTAGGGCGTGTAAAGAAACAGCCGGAGCTCCACACACACACACACACACACACACACACACACACACACACACTCAGACATGCACACAAACACGGCGCTGTTATCCCTCGCTGGCTGATAGTGTTTAAATTGCAAATGTGCTGAAATATTAGTGTGTAATAGTGAAAAGTTTAAGTGATTTAAAAAACACTGCAGAAGTGCGAACAATAATGATGGTTGTAAACTTACAGGTGCTCATAGGCGGACTTTAGGTCTTGAAGTTGGCCATTTTCCCCCCCGTTTAGAAGATGTGCTAAGCTAAGCTAACTTGCAACTAGGTGCTTCATCCCTCAGACATTTGAGTGAGCGGTATTGATTTTTTTTCATAATTGCACCAAAAAAAGGGAACGAGTGCATTTCCTAAAATGCGTATTAAAAAAATTCCACAATTTAGTGTTTGTTAAGCAGAAGCAGACAAACAAAAAGTGCTGACAGACGTTTGCTCTCAGACAGATTCAAGAGAAAGAGCGGTTTAAAAAACAATCCCAGTCATGCTCTTGTGGTCCTGCACGAGTTTCCCTCTCCAGTTAAAATGTCATTTTCACCACCACAAGTCGTCAGCTGTCTACGTGAGTTCTGTTATTTGTGGTCTGTGGTTTTTCCAGCGTTCTGACTCCTACAGAGGTTTTGAAGCTCAGCTGTATCCGTCTTCCCACTCCATGACTTTATCGTACTCTTGGATCTTCTGTTTGATGTGCGACAGTTTGTTCTTTAGGTACTCGCAGCGCTCCTTCTTCTCCAGGAAAGTCGGGTCCTGGTGCAGAAAAAGCAGAAAGAAGAAGATGATACACTTTATTAATCTCATGAGGGGAAATTCAGGTTCACACTCTGTTATTGAGACATGCCACACACACATAGGCTGATACACAAACACATGCACAAACAGAATCATATGAACATGCACTGATATAAATCAGTAAAATATAAATCAGTATGGAGGTGTTTTAATTTTTCAACGAGACAACAGACTCACATTCTTCTTCCTCTGGTATTCCTGAAGGATTCTGTTAATGCGATCAACCTCCTGCAAAGAAACAGAAATGACATGGACATGTTCATCAGACACATATGAGGAACATTGAGGTGCAATGATGCTGTAAGTAAAATCCACTTTCTAATGGAGCAGCGAAGGAATCTGAGGGTGGAGGGGAAGTTCAGCAGGAACAAGAAGCACAAACAGAGGAAGTGACAACATGTGGGAAATAACAACAGAAAGACTTTGTGTGTTATTCCAGGCATGCAATCAGTCTCTTACATTCATGTTTACACTTGTGAGATAAACTCACACACAGACTGATGGGGGCCATAACTCATGGGTACCAACACCATCAGGATAAAACGGGAGATATGTTTATGGTTAATATGTTGTCTTCACAGGTTGTCATTTTTCTTTTGCAACTCCACCTGACCAGCACAGACGGGCACTGCATCAGGTTTTAAGATCAAACCACATCAGTGACCCCTGCAACATCCCGAGGTCATTGAGTCATTGCTTACAAATAGAAGAAGTCTGCAAAAAATATAGTAAAAATGTTACTGATTTATTATGTGGAAACATAATTCTGCTGCATAAATATGCCACAGGTGTTATAAAATGAAAAGATATGAGGCCTGGTGGTTGGTGCCCACGCCCCATGTGTAGAGGCTGTAGTCCTCCGGGTTCCTTACTCTCTCTCTCCCATCGATTTCTGACACTACCCACTTTCAATCTTTAAATAATAAAGGCACAAAATAAACCTTAAAATAAGCTTTGTTAGAACATCTATCAGCTCAGTTGTTGTTTTTGTTTTTAAAGAAGAGTAAATGCGTGCTAATACTCACCATCTGGCTGGTGGGGTTCTGCGGCAGACTGCGCATCATGGCGTCCATCTCGTCAAACTTCTTGAGCGTCACCTGCACGTCTGCGTGGATCTCCTTGTACTCTGCGTACTGGTCGTTGAACACGGCTCGGTACTGATCCCGCTCCTCTACAGACCGGATCGACGGATACTTACTGCGGGGTGGAGGGAGAGAATAAAATGTCTTAAACACACAGTTACCAGCTGCTTAAATGTGAATATGATCTGGTTTTCTTTGAGTGAACAAAATAGTTCTGCTGGTCAAAAGGCCATTGAAGATTTGTTAATTACTATGGATTTTGCTGAAGTAAAAACATTTACAGATACATTGTGATCAACATCATCTAGTTTAGTAAGTTGTATATCTAAAGCAGTACATACCTGATGTAGTCCGGCAGTATCACAGGTTTTGGGATGTGTCCCGATGGTATCGCTCCCTGCAGAACTTTTGGTGGGACTGCTCTGGGAGCAGCCTGGATTGGAACCACTGAGGAGCCCTGGACCTGCTCAGGAGCTCTGAGTGCAGGACCTGAAACTGGAATCATCTGCTGGGACACAACAAGAAAATCAAATGTGTAGAAATCATTTTACAGATTGAGCAACAACGTGAAGTGCAATGAAATAAATAAGTCTGTATAATGATTGATTGAACAACATGGGAGGATGCTCACCAATGATCGTGCAGCTCTCCTCTCAGAGGGATCCATCTGGGGAAACAAAACATGCACATGTCATCCCGTGAACATGAAGCCAATAATAAGGATTTAGTAGTGCAGGAAAAGGTTTTGAAATTGCAGGAATTGGACTTATTCACACAAGAGGCAGCGAGCTTGGCTTAGCATGAAGACTCAAAACACACCCTGGCCCTGACAGTTACCATCTGTGTTAAGGTGCTCAGGTCAACATGTTATATCTCATTTGGTCATCCTGTCAAAAAGGCGGTATGGGCAGAGGTTTCTTGGAGTCAATAACAAGTTGTCCATACTTTTAGTCTTTTTAAGAATTTCAGGCTTTTTGTCTTAATTAAAGACAAAACATTGGATAGAGAAAATCAGGAGAGAGAGTGGGGGATGACATGCTGGAAAGGAGATGTAGGACGGACCTGAGCAATGTAAACAAATTGAGGATATATTAAGTCAAAGTTTATGATACAAACACAAATATATTCAAATTTTTTAAATGCAAAACGTTTGACATATTCAGCTCTAACATACACACAGTCTCAGTCAATGTATCATTTAAATGATGGCAGAGTTCAGCTGCGTTATCAGCCCGACATTTACCGTCGCTGTTTTAAACATGTGACACTGCCAGCCTACAGTGCTCTTTTTCAGTCTTGACGCCAGGCTAACAAGCTACTGCATTTATGTTCACAGCTCACAGGTAGGAAACACAGACTCCGCCCCCTCACTCTTCTACAGCTGTAAGCCTGTGTGTGCAAATCATGTGGTTTGTTGTTGCACTGAAGTCTGAGTGTGCAGACATGTTTGTAACACCAGCCTGTTTATCAGTGATCAAAGGGATACATAGTGTTGATGATCCTTTAAGCAGAAGCAGAAGAAGAAGAAGCTCAGAATGGTGTTGAGGAAATTCAAAACCCAGCCCATAAAACAAAGCAAACAGACACCTGAACCAGATCTCACCTCCGGGCCGTACTTCTCCCGGTATCTGCGATTAGCTTCATGCCTCCACAGCTTCAGACACACGGCGGCTCCGATCAGATACACGACCAGTGTGACAAACAGGAAGATGATGGCTGCGGTCTGGCCGGCCTCTGTTCTGCAGAACGCCCCGTTGATGCCGTTGTTGAAGACCGGGTAGGAGCAGAGCCCTCCACGGGTTGTGTCACGGACGTAAACAATGCCTGGTAAACCAACAAAAACAAAAAACCTCAATAAGAAACTTAATAAGCGACAAAGGGGGACGTTCTAGTTTGAAAATGTGCATTTTCTCACTCTTCTCTGGTGGTATAAAGCCAAACAAGTAGCTCTCAAAGTAACAATACCTTAAAGGGGTTTGCTACTATCTGTTAACCTTTGCCCTATTTCAAGATATGATGGAGCTTAAATGACTAAAAAGTACAAAAAAGAAAAGGTTTGCATTGCTTCGGCAGCAGCTGCAGAACTGAAACATGATGTGAAGTCTGCAACATTTTGGCTCACAGCTGTGTTTCCTACCTGCTGCCATGTAGAGCACAGCCAGCGCCAGGTTGATGATAAACTCCGTCAGCGGCCACCAGTTGGAGTCGAGCAGGATGGTGCGGTAGTACATGGTCATCCCGAGCACCAACACGATCACGGTCACCAGCCAGGCCAGCCCCGCCACCACCAACACAAACGGGGTCTTCGGGCCCGAGTAGTACGACCCTCCTGTTCCTGAACCGTAAAGCCCTCCTCCGTACGCCCCTCCGGGAGACGAGTACCCGAACATGTTGAACCACTCGTTGTCTTTGTGGATGTAGGCGCAGACGCAGGCGAACACGGCGGCTCCCAGCAGGAGCTCCACGCAGCCCAGAATCCTCAGCAGCCCCGCCCACGACTTCATGTAGGCGTAGCGCAGATGGTACTCCTCCACCCGCTCGCTGTAGGTCAGACCGGTGTGATGAGTGCGTCCGGATACGGACTCCCGTAGCTCCAGAAGCTCTTTGCCTGAGTTGTAGCTGCCGCCTGAGCCTCCATATGGATCCCGGAACGACCCAGGAACCGAGGGGGAGTGCGGGGGAGAGCAGCGGACCCCGTCGCTGGTACTGTTGTTGTTGTTGCACGAGGAGTCCGACATGGGCCAGGGCTTGTTGCTGCTGCGGTTACTCCCTCTAAAGAAGTCCTTCCAGGAGTCCGGGATGAAGCGGTGCACGGGTTTAATGTCGAGGGCGGGGTCAGGGTCGGCCTCCGCATCGAACTCTCTGCCGCTGAGGTCGAACTCCAGGCCCACAGGAGGCTGGTCGGGCAGAGGCGGGGGAGGCAGGGGGTCAGCGCTGAGCGCGAGGGGAGCCGCTCTCTGCTCGCTCAGAGGCTCTAGGTCGTAGGAGTCTGCTCGGCGTAAGGAGCCCTGAGGGACCTGGTCATAGTGTGGCGCCTGGCGGACACGCTCAGTGCGTCCGTTAAAGCCTCCTCCATAGGACATGAGGATGGTGATGGTCCCTGAGAAAACACAAGCATGCAAAAAACATAAACAAGCATGCATTGATTAAATACCAAAGTAAATCTTGCTTCATCATTTAAGCTTCCATCGTGTCATCGTTGTACATCGTTAACAGAACTGAATTTGGCCGCCACAATACCAGAATTTAAACTTTAATATGATTCTAGCAAAAATCAGACAATGTTGATACCTTTTTTGAAACCACAGCAACCAAAACAGAAGTCCTAGGCACCCAAGATTTGGATATTTCTTGATTTTAATTATGCAAAAATATGCAGGCAAACTCCTGCCCGCTGTCTCAATTGCAAAAATTGAACGTTGGCAATATTTCAATAATGAAACGTCACCAACTATATGTGCAAATTAGACCGCGCTTTTTATATTCATCTTTGGGTAAAAGCATGACTGAATATCTTCAGTTTTTTTTTTTTTTTTTTTAAAGCTTCAACATTAAAATTATACAGATGGTTTTGTTTTAAAACATGTGGTATCAAAAAGTATCAAAGCATCAACATTTTAACAACCTCAAAGAACTACACAGTATGGAAAGAAAGAGGAAATATAAACAGGAATAAGCCGTAGTGAAGAGATAATCCAAAATAGATGGTGCATGCTCCACAACCAAACAGCGAGACCCTGAAGAAAAAAAAAGCAAACCCCCGACAGTACCTGAGCTCCCCACAGAAAAAGCCCTCATGAGTGAAGATGTGATCCTCCATGCAAGCCGAGTCAAGAATGCATTTTTGTGCTGCAACCAAACAAAAAAAAGGGCAAAACTCCCCCTCCCCTCCCCCTCTTCTTCTTCTTCTTCTTTCCTGGCTGATGGTTTATTTTCAAGAAAGTTGTTGCAGACAGCACAAAAATACATTCTTGACACAAATCAGCCCTTTAAAGCCCGTTTCTTCGATCTTTAGAGGTAAAATAAAAATAAAGAACGGTGCTTGAATACCTTTCACACGCAGTCACTCAACACGACTTACATTGGCTTGCGGGTCAGAATGCAAACCTGGTATGAACACACAGTGAGCCGACGAATCACCTGTGAACACAAACAAACGTTTAAAGAGGAGCGGTTGGCCTGCAGAGAATGAGAATAAACTAAATCACAATGTAAAAAGAGCCCAAAGCGACATGTTCATATTCTAATTTGACCGACCCAGAAGATCACAACCTTAAATATAATCAGTTTATGGTTAGTTAAACCGGGAAAAGCAGAAAAATCAGTTTGTTGACATTTAAGTTTCTCGCCAGATGATGTGTTTGCTCATTTTCTTCCTTTTGCCAAAACATCTGTGAAGCTATTTTCTTTATTTAAATCATGTGACGTTTATTGTTCCATGTTTACCTTTATTCTTCTTCCTCTTTTTTTGAAAGAACACTGTTGTATTTTTGTGTGCCTCCAAAATGTGATTCATGACTCGCATGAATCTGATATCATAAAAATAAAAGAAAATACATTGACAGCTGTTCTTTAGATTTCTAATTTTCTAATTAAAACAGCATTTAAACCAAAAGAAAATGAATCTGATATCAGGCCAATGCATGATACTCAATATAAAGCAGGGACTGTTTAATAAAAAATATGCAACTATTGGTCTAAAACCGTGCACGTTCAATACCCTTCCTTCGGCTCAGTTTGTTTTGTTTGTTTCTTATTTTGCCCTTTTTGACATTGTACCAGAAATAGGAATAGTCACTGTGTGTGTGTGTGTGTGTGTGTGTGTGTGTGTGTGTGTTCATGTCATCACTTGTGTCATGTATGTATGTGCAGTTTGTGTTTCTTTAGATGTCTAATGCTCAGTGTCATTTATTTGATTTCTGTATCTTATTCATGATTGTTGAAATAATTATTAAATGATTCCTTCTTGTGTTTTTACCCCCCAAGAGCTTACCTGTAATGAAATGTGCTTTATAAGTCAACTTTATATTTTATTATATTATATTATAATATTATATTATATTATATTATTACATTATATTATATTATATTATATTATAGTATATTATTATTTTATTATTTTATTAAAGGACTATTTTCACATTTAAGTCGCGGTTCTTTCCAGATGTAACGGATCTACTTTCACTTTTTGCTGCTGTTGATTATTTGTGTTATTTAAATTGTGAAGTGGAGTCAGATAATTAAATATATAAAAACGTGTTTCAGTTCTGCTTTAATCTGAACAACATGAAGTGTGCAGTGAAGGAGGCCTAACCTAATAACGTTACAACAGACGCAGATCTGGCACACAGCCAGCGGGCTCGGTCAAGAGAAAGAGTCAATTTAAACACTTAAAAGTGACTCCGTGTTAACTCATTAAAGCGTTTAAAGTTCATTAACAACCCTGTAACAATCTGTGTGTTCACAAAAAGTCGATATGTATTACTGCTTAATGACCATTTTAACCTGAAACCGCGAGGTAAACTTTCCTCCAAGTGCACGTTTACGCCAACTCAACTTGTGTTTACGTCTGACTTTTCGACATTAAAAGTTCACATTTCTGTTAAAAACGACTCATTATCGACGCCTGCGTGCACACATGTTGAAATATTTAAGTTTATAATGGATGTAAACAGAGTTTGCACACCGCTGCCTTACCTTGTTCGCTCCTCTTCTTCTTCGTCTCTCATTTCAGTAACGTTAAACCACGACCACGTGACCTGCCCATCCCAGTGACGTCACCCAGGCAGAAGGGGGAAATGTACCTGTTAGGAAGTAGCACACCTGAGAGATAACTAAACACAGATACTGTGACTCATTTATAATTTTACAGTCTCTTACTCTGGCCCCTCTTGTATGAGGTATTTATTTTGTAATATCAGAGTCACTTTATCTTTGTTTTATTTTGAGTCAATGTGATGGCGCTATAGGAAATGTTTTGTTTATGTCTGAATAATCCCATGAGGGATGAGCCGTGTCTTTATGAAAATAAAGATTCATACACTTATTCATTAATTAATATTCTGCAGAGCCAATGAGGTCCCACAAAAGTAGAACAACAAAACAAACAAAAAAAGAAAATAAACTCACAAATGTTCGACAAACAATTTGAGCTTTAAAGGTCACATATTCTCCTCCTCTTCAACCAGTTTAAATAAGTCTCAGAGCTCCTCTTAACATGTCTGTGAAGTTTCTTGTTCTAAATCCACTCTGATCCTGTATTTGATCATGTCTATAAACCCCTCTATTTCAGCCCTGCTCAGAACAGGCTGTTTCTGTGTCTGTACCTTTAAATGTAATGAGCTGTGTCTGACCACGCCCTCCTGGAAGGGCTTTGGGTGTACTCGGTCTTTCTCGCTCCATGTTCTATTGTTTACGATGAGAAGGCAGACTCAGTCACCCACCTGGGGGAGGGGCTACTGCCCTTTGTGATGTCATGAAGGGAAAATCTCCAAACGGCCTGTTTGAGCACACATTTTCTGAAAAGTGGAGCAGGCAGAAGACGGAGAGGATGACTTTCTCATAGAGGGGGGTTTATAGACAGACTAGGGACAAATGGTAAAGTGTATTTTGCACAATATGTGACCTTTAAAGAGAAGTAAAGTTTTTAAACATATTTTGTTATAGTGCCTCAGTACTATAGTCATCCAGACATTTTAATAGTGTTATCCAGATTACCTATTGTGACCTCCTGCTTGTTAAATTGCAACAGGAATGTACACGACATAGCCCGAGGCCATCAAATCTATGAGCCTGCAGAGTCAGAGTCTGACTGCCTAACACCTCTTCTGTTCTTTAATTCAGGCTGCTGCTCAGGTGGAGGAATCTCCGCCATCTCATCTTCCATGTGTACTTCAAGGTAACAGATACCCAATTTAAAGTGACAGAAAAGCAACAAAGCAACAAATATTGAAAAATAAGACAACAAATATTGAAAAATAAGACAGCTCCATAAATGAGTTTTATTTGTAATTCAAAGTCGTAAAAAAATGAAGAATTTAAAGTTTTCATCACCAATGAAACACATTTGTTTTGATTCTTTAAGAAGCTTTTGCAGACTGAATAAAACAAATGTAGTTGGCTGGATTATAAACTAATGATGTTTTTAAAATCTTAGTTTTACCAACAGGTTTCAAAACCTTTACACAGGGTATAAAAAGGTTAGGTTGTGTCCAAAGCCACATCCTAACGTATCACCTCCTATACTGTCTTTAACCAGACCGGTAGTATGCAGTTACATACTAAACTACCAGTCATGTGACATAAGTGTTAGACTTGCATGATTCATGATCCACATCCAGTGACAGTATATGTCATGGTCAGGATTTGAGTTTAGCAGGTGACACATTCAGTATGTATTGGATGGTCTTGCAGGAGGACGGTGTACACGTGCATCGTCTGCTGTAGTTTTATCACAAGGAGACGTTTTATTTTTATTTTTGTGCTTTTTGTGCCTTTATAGGAGAGATAGGACAGTGGATAGAGTCGGAAATCAGAGAGAGAGAGAGAGAGAGTGGGGAATGACATGCAGGAAAGGAGCCACAGGCCGGATTTGAACCTTTGCCACCGACTTGGGAGACTATAGCTTTCCATACATGGGGCGCGCACACTAACCACTGCGCCCCACAAGGAGACGTTTTATCAGTCACCATCTCTGCTGCATCTCTTCTCCTCTCTGCCTGCACGCTGCGGTCACTCTCCACGCAGCCGCTGCATGAAGCAGATGCTGCCAGATGCTGGAGTCTGACTGAAGTCTGACTGAAGGTGAAAATATTTTTTAAATAAGCTTAATTTTGCTTTTCAAATCTGAGCTCTGGGGCTGCAGAACTGTGTGAAGGGAGCATCATCAACACCTGTGGACACCTGGTAGGTTCATTATAAGACTTTGAAACAATACTTTACTAAAGTCTGATGAGTGCAGTGTAACGAGGAGGACATATCCAGATCATCTACTTAAGTACAGAATTAATACCACACAGGGAAAGACAGCCAGGAAATGTACGGAAAATATTAAAGTAGAAAAATAGGAATGATAGATTATTAGTCCTCATGCATGGACGTTAAAGTGAAGCTTCACTGCTGATGTTCAGCTCAATGTTTACATTTCCATAAAGGACTGAAATAATTCATTTTACAGTTTATTTTCTGGCAGCGTTGTGGGAGTTTGTTTTTATCCAGAGATGATTGATGGATCTAACCCAGAAACTTTTGGTTGTTTTCCCATCTTCCTTTGTTTCTTCTTCTTCTTTTTTACTTACAATATTTGCACGTAATGGTCCATGATCAGTCTCAGACTCTTTTCTGTTAGTGTTCATATGCACTGGTATGTATGTGTAAAACCTTGTAATCAATATTAACTCAACTTCAATTTAAGGGTTTCACCGTTATGCCAGTCTTAGTAGTAAGTTCACAGAATTATTCAACATATTTACGTTTTGAAATTATGCAAACATTTTCAAACAAACAAACCAAGAGACAAAAAATTCTCAAATAACATCACAAAATACTTTTTTTTTTTACAAAGCAGCACTTGAAATGTTTGTTTATAATATTATTATAATAGGTAGCCTACTTAACAAGTAGTTTAAATCTCTTTATTTGCTGAGGAATAAAACATTTAAAATGTCAGATTTATCCTCAATTAAAAACAAAGAGAACAACAAGCAGAAACTTCAAGAAGCCAAATAACAAAAGGAATAAAGAAAAAGAGAGAAACAGGTTAAAAACATCAGGCAACAAATGGACTTGAGCTCTCCAAATAATTATTCCACGTTTGGAGAGTCCATTGACGTTATAACTAATCTAGAGCTCTCAGACTCAAACTGGGATTTATGGGCTTAAAGCCAGTAAAGTCTGCACTTCTTAGACTGCCGCAAAAGAACATTAATCCTTTTTTTTTTTCAGCAGTTGTTGAGATACGAGTAGTGTGTATCTACGTTTGGCAAAACAGATGTTGGCCAAGTACTTATCAGCAGAAGTTTTGTAACTTTGTACCAGTGTTTAGCAGCTCCCTTGGGATTACGATCTGTGATAATAGTATCTGTGGGCAGACAGATCATCCACAGAGCACCATCCCTATTGTGACACCAACAATTAGTGGTTTTATTTAAGTAAGAAAAAGAAACCAATCCATTATTAAAGAGACTATTTTTTTTAAGTATTTCTCGTGTGATCAGGTGCGATACAAGATAATTGTTGGATGTCTGAGTAGTTGTCAAACACAATAGTGTGTGTGGACATCTTCTGTGACTGTGCCACTGCAGATAGAAGTGTTCAGGGTGGGGTCTTCTTGTCTATTTTTACCACCTTTCTCTTCACCGATAGTGGACCGTTAAAACTATTCTGAGCTTTACAATGTGCCTGGGTGGATGGGATGGCAAACCATCAGTCCACCGTTCTGGTGCAGACCTCAACGACTATCCAATAAATAGAGTTGAAATGTATAAAAGACATCATCATCATACATCCAGCTGACTGTGAGAACGCCCTGACTTATCATCAGGTCAAATGTTTCAGCTTCACAGTGAAATATCTATACAAGGTGGAAAATTGTGGTTCTTTCATTTGTGGTTTCTGTGGGATGAATCCAACTGATATGATTAAGAAAGTAAGTAAGTAAAATTTATTTATGGAGCACCTTTCAAGAACAGATGTCCCAAAGTGCTTCACATTAAATAATTGAACTACGGTGGCTGGGAAGTGCAAAGCAAAATTACAAAGTGTGACTCACTTTGAGACAAATTTACATTTTGAAAAACAGTTTTACAATTTTATAAAACAAAATTACAAAACCAAAACACTAGACACATTTTCAAGTGGTAGAACACTTTTACTAGTCCCCAAGAAACTTTACAAATGACAGAATCTTGACAGAAAGGGAATGTACCAAATTCAGGAAGTGACCTGGAAGTGATTGAGTGACGGGTAATTGTTTATTTTGGCAGAAAGATTTTGAATTCTGCGTTGTCTCATTGACCTTTTTTTGCTTTAGGGCCAGCAGGAAAAGTTCAGGTGAAATATTCTGCTGTCTGTGTCTCACCCAGAAAATTACAAGAAGTTTTCAGGAGTTTTGTGCATGTGAGGAAAAACCAAAACAATTCATTGTGAATGTCTGTTTTCAGTTATAAAAAAAAAACTTGGTTTGTCTTAAATGTCTCCCAGGTGTTCCGCAAAAGTCTTTCAGGGATGGAGCGGCCAAACTACACCACACAGCTTTTACTGCAGCTGAACCAGCAGCGATCTAAAGGATACCTGTGCGACGATCATCGTGGTGGAGAACGCTCTCTTCAGGGCTCACAAGAACGTCCTGGCGGCCTGCAGCAGCTACTTCAAATACTTAGTGCTGCATGAGAACCTCATCACCCTGAACACAGAGATGGTGAAGCCCTCAGTGTTCGACCAGGTGAGTAACCCAACAAAACAAACGATTCTTTGGATTTCTATTTAGCTAAGATATGCATTGACTTCTGTGGGATTTATGTCTTCCACTTCTGCAGGTACTGGACTTCATGTACACAGGTCAGCTGCCTTCCTCCAATCATTTTGGTAACCAAGGTGTGTCTGACCTCCTCAGAGCTGCTTCCTACCTGCAGCTGTCAGAATTAGCAGCTCTCTGTCGCTTGAAACTTAAAACCCATGCGTCGAGCAATTGGCACCCGTCAACCACCTCTTCCCTCAGCACCAAGCAACATCCTCAAGTCAGCAGGAGCTTCAACTCTGGGTCCTTGGAGGGC